TTTCGAGAGTCCTATCCGTCCCGAACCGTTCATCTTGAATGAAATGTTCAACCTAACACCTTTGAGTCTATCTATATCCGCCCACTTTTTGATCCCTTGGGTGGGGATTTGGTACTCTCTTTCTTAGGTCCTCAAAATCTTAGTTGGGTTAGAGAATTCTACTGTAATATAGAGAGTCTTGATGACATTGGTCCGTCATTCAAGACTTGGGTCCGGTCCAAGTCTATCACTGTTACCACTGATCTTATTAGAGAGCTTTTAGGGATTAGTAAAGTCTTCCCTATTTTCTATCCTTTTCTTGTGAGACCCACTTGCGATTTTAATGAGGTGGCCACAGCTTTATGTGGTACATCTCGTCCTTGGCTCCCTAGGGCACTGATCAAACAAAATGAGCTTCTACTCCATTTTCGGTTACTCAATCTCATCGTGTGTGCCAACATTATAGTGACTACCCATAGCTCGGAAATAAACCAAGAACAAGGGTTTGTTCTACAGTGTATTGCTCTCAATCGCTCCATTGACCTTGCTACTTTGATTATTCAAAAGATGGTTGCTGCGTTTAAACGTAACAACCTTGGTCTGCCTTATGGGTGCCTCATTAACAGGCTTCTTGCCAAATTTGAGGTTCCCTCGTTTGACGAGGATGAATTTGCTTCACCATCCCGGCCTTTCACCAAGAAAACTGTCTCCCAGAGTCAATCACATGTTCGAGGGGTTTCTACTGGGGTGGGTCATTCCAGTACATGTACAGGTGATGCTGCCATGGCAGAGGAGGCTGAATTTGATGCAGCTGCTGCCAGTGATGCTGTTGGTGAGGGGAAGCAGCCACCTCCAGTCCATACTATCTGTGATTAGCTCCACCATTTCGAGCAGTCTGTTGTTTCTCGTTTGGATCATCTTGAGGGCCGGATGGATATTTTCGAAGCTCGGCTCACGGATTTGAAGACGACTGTCGATGCTCGACTTACTGCGTTGGAGGCCTCATCCAAGCGCATTGAGGAGTCCGTTGCCCAGTCTTCTGCTTATTTATCTCAGATCTTGTCTTTTCTCCAGATGTTGTCACCTTCCCAGCCACCAGCTCAGTGACTTTTCGTTCCTCAGACATTCTTCTCAGCTAGTGTTATTTTCCCTACTACCTCTCTGATATTTTTTGTTACTGTTTGGTTTTCTCCCAGACATAAAAGAAGCAGTGGATATTGTTATATTGTTAGAATTTGAGAATATTTTAGGCTTTTATACTTGTTGCATGCATACTGGATATTATTAGAATTTAGGAATGTTTTGGGAATATTTTTGGATTTTGGATGGTATACTTGTTGCATGCACTATTATTGATGGATGGGTATTATGTTTTTCAGATATCTTAAATTTGGTTATTTATACAGTTCCACAGTTTTGGTTGGTTTGTGTGGTTGTTTCTTCAGGTGGATTGTTCAAAGAAATTGTTCAAGAATTGCATGGTCCTTGGTGGTTGTTTTTTTTGTTGTTTTTATTGTAGTGGTTTTGTTAGGAAAATTGTTTAGAATGGTTTTGTTCGGGATTTGACAAAGGGGGAGATTGTTAGGACCTTTGTTTGTCAAAATTCATGGACAAACTATGTTGTTAGTCAAGTTGTAATCTTCCAATTTCTTTCTTCCCGCTCGAGCGGGGAAAGGGACGCTTGAGCGGAGTTTACACTCACAGTATTTTGCGTGTCTGCAAAAATACTAAGTGATGTGTTTTTACACTCGAGTGTGGGATCTTCCACTCGAGCGTGAACCCTGGTTTGGAACACGATATAGAGTCCCTGCTTGAGCATCCATTCCCATGCTTGAGCGGACCGCGCGATCTCTGCTTCTATAAATTTTCTTGTTGGTCCAACTCTAGGGTTACTTTCCTAGATCTTCTTTAATGGTCTTAGGGTTTCTTCTGAGGTTTTCTTTTGGAGTTCTATGTGAGTTTTCCTTGATGATTTGAGTGAGTATTAAACTCATGTTTTGATAAGAACATATCAATGAGGTTGATTGGTTATATTCAAGAGTGTTCTTCTTCAGTGGAATCTGGAGATTCAAGCGTGGAGTTTCAAAGGAGTTTGATACTGTGTGTAGTCGTTGATTCGACAATAGAAGTTGTGGATTCAATTTCAGTCTAATAAATTCCAAGACGAAGGTTGCGGTGAAAGGTATACAGGAGATTTGAAGATAACTTGGAAGCGTTTGGGTAATTTGTTTGTCATCTTTGTAATCTTTATTTCTTCAGTAGTAGATTGATTAGTGGTGTTTCGCCTGTGGTTTTTTAATCACAATTGAAGGTGCTTCAATTGTGGTTTTTCCACGTAAAAATCGTTTGTGTCGATTTATTGTTTTTCGAAAAATAACAATCTAAATCACTTTTGTAAGTGCTTGATGATTTAGATTGTGTGTTTTGAATGATTGGGAATTAGAGTAATTAAATCTTGATATAATCACGAATCACTTAGGATTTTCACAAGGTAACCTTGAATGTTAAATTGTTTTAATTAGTACATCAGTGCTCAAAGAAAAAAAAAAGAAAAAAAATGAAGATCCTTAACTACGTAGTTATTTTTAAAAAAAGTTATTGAGATTGAACTAAAATCTCTGTTTTTTTTTTTTAATAGCAAATTATGAGTTCAATAGATAAATTCATATTTTTGTCTCATGTATGAAAAATGCAATAGTCATTAGTAGAACTTGTAGTGAATGTGTTAGACATGAGGTAGAAAAAGACAGTAAATAATGAAGATGACAAAAGGGAAAGATGAAAAAGTAACATGCCTCACAACTCACAAATGGTAATTTGTCCTCAAGGTTTTCTTGAAGAGGGACAAGAAATAGCTATGAAGAGACTTTCGAGGAATTCTAGACAAGGATTAGATGAGTTCAAGAATGAGGTTATTTGTATTGCCAAACTCCAACATCGAAATCTTGTGAAGCTTCTGGGATGTTGCATTCATGGAGACCAGACAATGTTCAACTATGAGTACATGCCTAACAAAAGCTTGGACTTCCTTATTTTTGGTTCGGCTCTAAAGCTTAACAAGTCCATCTTTTTTATTTTAGTTTTCTTGGCATTCAAGTGGTTTTATATTTAGAAACTCTTTTCTAGTTATATTAAAAAACTTTGCACAGATTGGACCCGTGGCACATTACTGGATTGGACTAAGCGCTTTAACTTCATCAACGACATTTCTCGGGGGCTTCTTTATCTTCATCAAGATTCTAGACTAAGAATAATCCATAGATATCTCAAAGCTAGCAATGTTCTGCTAGACGTTGACATGAACCCAAAGATATCGGACTTTGGTGTGGCTAGAAGTTTTGGAGGACATGAGACAGGAGTGAATGCAAGCAAAGTGGTTGGAACATAGTACGTATATATGCATGCTTTATGTTATTCAATCTTGTTTCTGTAAATTTTTTCTTCTTCTAATGTTTTACTATAGTGGCTATATGTCTCCGGAGTACACAGTGGATGAGATTTTCTTAGTAAAGTCAGATGTATTTAACTTTGGTGTTTTGGTGCTAGAGATTGTTAGTGGAAAGAGAAACAGAGGTTTCAATCATTCAGACCACCATCTCAATCTTGTTGGGCATGTGAGTTCCAATCACTACAGGGAAAATGAGTTTTAACGACGTTTTTTTAAATGTCACTTTTTTATATTTTTAACGGCGTTTATAACCATTGCATATATTGTTTATCAAAACGGCACCGTTTTATAATTAAAGGCGTTTAAAAACACCTCCAAAGGCAGTAGGAACACGTGCTTCCTTTATCCTTCATTTTTGTATCCTTCGTTTTTGAAACCCTTATTTTGAATCTAAGCCATTTCTCTCTCTCTCTCTCTCTCTCTCTCTCTCTCTCTCTCTTAACCCTTGTACGCACACATCTCTCTCTCTTTCAACCTTCTCTGCATCGGTGATTTCTTGACCTTCTTACTTAGGGTTTTTGATATTTTTATATAGAATATTCAGAAATGTAAAAGTGAATATCCCCACCAGGTGTTGTCAATGAGAACTACATCTGCACCGAAGCTTCATCTGCACCGGCAATTTCGAAGATTCGGAGCGATTTCGAAGCTCCATCGCCACCACCATCTACACCGGCAAGGCAGCGAACTCCACTGTCTCTCTCTAGATCTCTCTCTCTCTCTCTCTAGATCTATGAAATCACTGTTTTAAGGCATTCTTACTTGATCCTCATTTGTAGAGATTCAGGGATTGCAGGGTGATTTCGACTTCGAAACTCCATCGCCACCACCATCTGCACCGGCGATTTCAATTTCACTAAGGTGAGCTCTACCGTTTCTCTCTCTCTCTCTCTCTCTCTCTCTCTCTCTTCACAAATTACTTCAAATCCTTAAAAAACCATTAAAAAAAAAAGAGCTTAAAAGCCTACACCAAACACTTCACTCTTTTTGTGTGGGCTACTCTATATTCTAGTTATTTTGAAAAATGTGGGTTTGATTTATCGAGGACCTTTTAGGCTTAAAGTTAAGGATCCATGGAGAATTGAAGTTGGGAATTTGATAGATGCTACATATTGTTGAATTGTTACGTGCTTCAGCTTATATTGTTGAATTGTTGAATTGGCACGTTCTTAGTTCAATGTCCTCAAATAGTGAATCATGGATTTCCATTCCTTCTTTTTGTAGAATAACATAAAAAAGTTCAAACCAACTAATATTTAGTTTTGAGTTGATTGAGTTGCCCTCTACTGAAGACCCCTGTAGAGACAGATGAATACCCACGAGTGTGCTTTGTCTCATCTTTCATGTCATACAATGTTTAGTTGGGTCATGCCATGTTGCATGTATATTTTTTTTTTTACCTGTCTCAAAATCTCATTGGTAATATGGGTTAGGATTTTTTGGAATTATGTACTCACTTATTCCTGTCAAGACTCTTGTTATGACAACCCATCAGTGTTTGCTCTATCTAGTATTATAATTACTGTTGGAAAAAAAATAGTTAAAATGAGCTAGATTTTGTTAAAAAATAGTTAAAATGAGCTAGTTAAAAATAGTCCAATAAGCATGACCAAGTGGCAGTTGTTCCTGCAGATTGATTAATCCTTCCAGATTCACCGTAGTTATGGGAGTATGCTTGAAGGCGAGGCTAATGAACTTAAGGTATTACTTTTTCTTTGAGCATAAGAAATCTCTCTGGCATGATGTAAATAGGAAGCTTTGAAGAAATATGTACTTTTGAATTTTAGTTCTAACTTTTGTTTTGGAAATCAAGCAAATACATAATATTTGCCAATCAGTCTTTCAATTTCTCTAATAGTTGAAGTGAACTTATTTAGTGCATATAAAATGATGTTGCAAATTGAAAGGACATTTTCCAGAAACTTTGAGATGTATCGATTAAGTTTATTTATGGGATCAACTATGCACTATAGTACACACGTGGCTTATTTTTCATTGTAAAGTTGCTAAGCGGACACATTATTTTATCTGATGGAAAAGTTTTACTATTTTAATTCTAAACATTTTATCTTTCTACTTTGATCGACAATCTTTCTTAGTGCTTGAAATTTTCCTGTTTCTGCATTGGGAAAAGCGGTATTGTTGCATTAAAATCTAAGAAGCATAGATATGGGTATGAGTATGGACACATATACAACACGATACATAAAATTTTCCTGTTTATGCATTGAAAAAAATGGCAATGTTGAATTGCAATCTAAGAAGAATAGGTACGGGTATGAGTACAAACACAAACACAGATACAGCATGATACATACATGCACATTTTTGAAGTTAAGAACTAGCTACTTCTTTAGAATATGTTCTAAAATGTGATCCTCGTATGGTTTGGTTGTGTTTTTTTGTTATTGGCTTTGCTTCTTTTTTGGTTCTGTAACTATTATGCATGTTCATACAAATGTGTATACATGTTTACTCCAATTCTGATTTATTTATTCTTTGTTTTAGAGAGTATTCTTGGAAGGGAATCCGGACCTTCTGGTGATTACAATGATTGTCTCAGTATTTCATTCCATATTCGACTTCTTGGCATTTAAGAATGGTAATGGCAATCATTTATGCATCTTCTATGATGATCTTTATGGGAATTATAGCTTGTTAATTAATTTTTGGTTCTTTACAGATATTCAGTTTTGGAACAAAAACAAATCCATGGATGGATTATCTGCAAAGTCAGTTATTGTGAGCTTCTCATGTCAGCTTATCTGCAAAGTCGGTTATTATGGTTTGTCTCTATCATATATGCTGAGAATGTTGTATGGAGTTAAAAATATAATTACAGTAACTGTATATATTCATGGACTTAGGTCTTTGCACTAATTGGATCCCCTTGATGAATCTCTAATGCTCAAACCTGTCCCTGGAGTAGATGATTCTGAGTAACTGAATACAGTATAATTTCCTGGAATTTTATTTTATTTTTCACGAAAAGGTTGATATGTGCTTGTGTGAATCACTATCCATGGTGCATATTAATGACCTTAAATTATTATTTTGTTTGCTTTACGGTTTTTATTGAAGAACTCATTTGATGAAAGCCTTTATATTATCTCCTTCTTTTCCCCCCTGAATAATGACTACTATTAACTAGCTAAAATTTAGTGGATGCTTTTCAATCTCTAGAGAATCTAATTTGGGGTTAAATTACAAGACGAGAAGAGATTAGGCATCCACTTTGCTCAACCAACAGGTTGGCCTCTGTTCATCATTCCTTGTTTCATATATTAAACCTAAAATAGGTAACAAATAAGTATAATATTGTCACAACCCGAACCCGCCCCTATGGGTTAAGGCCATAACCGGCCAGTAATCATGAGATTACCTACGGTCTCAATCCAAATAAAACAAAACTCATCAGAGTAAAGGGGCCAAACGGAAGCAATTTAAAACTTTGTCCATAGAGCTGTGCTTATATGCACACCATAACATTCCAAACATTTATATGTTAATAACTCACATCGAAATATGTACTAACACAAAACACTGTACATACAGGATCATACAAGTTTAAGTTAGTCGAACCCAAGACTTATATACAAAAATAATCCAATGCTTTCGCCAATCATAACAAAAACTATGAACAAAGGACAAAGGCGAAGACAGTCTCGTGCGTGAGACGTTTGGGTTAACTCCTCAAAACTCTGACTGTTTCTCGCAAATTCACCAAAGCTGGTTCTGGACATCCCTTGGCTCACCTACATGTACATGAATGAGTGTGAGCGAAAGCCCAGTGAATAATATCAAATAAGGTAGATACATAAGCAATCTTTGAAACAGTTACAACAGACGGCCTTTGGCCCAATCACTTGGATCAATCGGCCTTCGGCCCAATCATTTGTGTCAATCGGCCTTCGGCTCAATCATTCATGTCCATCGACCTTTGGCCCAATCATTCTTATCAATCGGTCTTCGACCCAATCATTCATATCAATCGGCCTTCGGCCTAATCATTCATGTCCATCGGCCTTTGACCCAATCATTCATATCAATCGGCCTTCGACCCAATTGTTCATATCAATCGGCCTTCGACCCAATCATTCATGCCCATCGGCCTTTGGCCCAATCATTCATATCAATCGTTGTCCACCATTCAAATTAATAAACTTCCAAAACTTACATAGAAGTAAACAATTGGACAACAGTATATTTCAAATATCTTGTTAAGATATTATTCACAGTGATCGGCTTGTGGATTTGCCCTGGAGCTTGACCCTACACATCATATAACACATATGGGTCACAAACAATTCAATCCGTTCTTAAATTCACATATTCCTCTTTAGGCTTCATTCTTATCTCTTTAACTCTATTACAATGCTTAATACATGCCTAAGAGTGCTTGCAAGTGAAAGAGAACGGAAAACGAAACACATAATACACTTTCAAAATTTCAGAAAACAGGGTCCTCGCTCGAGCGTGGACTTCCCCGCTCGAGCAGACCCAAGAGGCCTGCAAAAGTACTGGTTATGCCAAATTTATGCTCGAGCGTTCACTCTGGCGCTCGAGCGGAAGGCCTCTCTACATGGCTCTCCGCTCGAGCGTGAACTTCCCCGCTCGAGCGGACGCCATGTCTGCAAAAAGTATTGGATGCATCATTTTTACGGTCGAGCGTGAATTTGTTTTTTATCCATTATTTTATTATTGTTGACTAGTAGAATACACATTTTGAATTTGTTTTTTATCCATTATTTTATTATTGTTGACTAGTAGAATACACATTTTGAATTTGTTTTTTATCCATTATTTTATTATTGTTGACTAGTAGAATACACATTTTGAATTTGTTTTTTATCCATTATTTTATTATTGTTGACTAGTAGAATACACATTTTGAATTTGTTTTTTATCCATTATTTTATTATTGTTGACTAGTAGAATACACATTTTGAATTTGTTTTTTATCCATTATTTTATTATTGTTGACTAGTAGAATACACATTTTGAATTTGTTTTTTATCCATTATTTTATTATTGTTGACTAGTAGAATACACATTTTGAATTTGTTTTTTATCCATTATTTTATTATTGTTGACTAGTAGAATACACATTTTGAATTTGTTTTTTATCCATTATTTTATTATTGTTGACTAGTAGAATACACATTTTGAATTTGTTTTTTATCCATTATTTTATTATTGTTGACTAGTAGAATACACATTTTGAATTTGTTTTTTATCCATTATTTTATTATTGTTGACTAGTAGAATACACATTTTGAATTTGTTTTTTATCCATTATTTTATTATTGTTGACTAGTAGAATACACATTTTGAATTTGTTTTTTATCCATTATTTTATTATTGTTGACTAGTAGAATACACATTTTGAATTTGTTTTTTATCCATTATTTTATTATTGTTGACTAGTAGAATACACATTTTGAATTTGTTTTTTATCCATTATTTTATTATTGTTGACTAGTAGAATACACATTTTGAATTTGTTTTTTATCCATTATTTTATTATTGTTGACTAGTAGAATACACATTTTGAATTTGTATTTAATAGGTGACATCTCTAAATTGATTTTGTAGCTCCACTATTGCACATGAGATCTATCATGAATCTTACTTCAATAATTTGATTTATTAATTTTGTAATCTCGTGTAGGTAAATCATTCAAAAATAAATAAATAAGTCAGATTGATCCATTAATCATAACACATATATTTAATTTCAAAAAAATTAATGGTGTAACTTTATCTATGTTTGGCTACCAACACATGACTAACTAACATTTACTAATGCCTCATTTGGCCCAATTTAGAAATTATAAGTGACTTAATTCCCTATCTAAAAAAAAAGTGAGTAAATTTTTTATTTTTAGTGAATTTATTTTCATCTTTTAATCAAAATTCTTTACTTTAGATAACATTTGAACTTGAACAAATGAGCATGAAAAAATTTGATTCGGCATTGGGACATCCGCAATGCAATGGAAGTTATCCAATCCCCTCAAAGCATAGATCATGTCAAGTGAAAAGGAGCTCATTGCATAAAAGACAGTCAGAAAGACCCAAGCCTTTTTCGCATTCTCTTAAGATGATGCTCTTCATTGGCGTCTTGACCTATGAGGTATGGTACGTTCTTTTGTTTTTTCTAACCAATGTGTAGGTACTCGAAGCTGTTGCTGATAGAAGTTTTCTCCACTATTCATGGTGATAGTACGTGGGTTTTGCAATATTTATTTTAATCCTTCATTGTAATGTTGTATTGTGATAATGTACTCACTGTTGCGATTTTGTTAATATTATGATGCATCTTATGCTTCCTAAAAAAAATAAAAAATCTTTACTTTTAGCGCTTTGGTGATTACTGTGGAGGAGTGAAATAGAAAACTTTTGATACCATGTTACAATATTTAAGAGAGAGAGAGAGAGAGAGAGAGAGAGAATATTATGTTATGTGTATATTCAATATTATGTGTGTACAAGACTCTTTTATATAGGAGGAGAGAAATCTAAGTATGATAATCCTAAGTATGGTAATGAATATAATATGGTATCTATGATAGTTAGAATATATGGTTACTATATTTAACACCTCCCTTAAACTCAAGTAAGGATAATAACTTGAGTTTGGAGAGAGAAACTAAAACATAAAATAAAACTAAAAATATGGATAGATCCGAGGCAAATAGATTGCAGAGTCCAGATTGAAGCACAAGAGTGCTTGAGATAGATTAGAGGCCGAAACTAATGCCGGGAGACAGTTTTTGGTGAGGTCATATCGAACCGTCCAGGAGCGCCTGGAAGACAATTTTTGGTTGTGTCGAACCATTGAAGAAGAACTAGATGTTGAACTAGCAAACATGGTATACACATAACTTATGACATCATGCTGAACGATGATGGAAACAGATAAAGAAGCGCGCCATGGGGCAGCTTGGAAAGGAACCATGTGCCCCAAGAGGTAACTTGGAAAAGAACAAAAAATGTGCTAAGAGGGCGACTTAGGTAGTGTGCCAAGGAGTGGCTTAGGGAGTGCCCCAAGGGGACGACTTAGGTAGTTCGCCAATGGGACAACTTAAAGAGGTTTGTATGCGCCAATGGGGCAAATTGGGTGGTTTGCATGGTATATAACCATGCTCACCATGATATAGATATAATACCCCCTCAAACTCAAATAGGGTTGAAAATAGAAACCTATTTCAGGTTGAAGCAGAGGGAAAGATAGAGTGGAGCAAAAAAAGAGATTTTTTTTTTTAAGAAAGAAATAATTTTTTTTTGTGGATGGGTTGGTGGAAGCAAGCCCATGTGATGGTAGGAATAAAATAAATAAAAAAATGTGTAACAAAACTTAGTTTTGCCGTTGAAACTAATGAAGAAAAAATAATAAAATATGTAGTATGATATTGAGATGGCGATGGGTTTGTGGGAACATGGTGAGATGGCGGCGATGGCTGGAGTTGGGAGATGCAGCGGAACTTTGGTTGGTGATAGAGGAATATAGAGAAACCAACGGAAAAATGAGGAAATCACCACAAAACAATACTGAAAGGAAACTATGGCAGTGGATTGAGTTGAGGTCCGGCAGGCAGCCAAGGCAAGGCTGCCGCCCTCCAGTGAAAGGAAATTACTAGGTACTTAACTTAGCTCTGATATCATGTTACAATATGTGAGAGAGAAAGAGAGAGAATATTATATATGTTATGTATATATTCAATAGTATGTGTATACAACACTCCTTTATATAGGAGAAGAAAAATCTAAGTATGGTAATCATCAGTGTGGTAATAATATGGTATGTATGGTAGATAGAATACATAGTTACTATATTTAACAATTGGTGCAGAAGTCACCCCCAATATTGGTTACTACCTTCTTCCACTTTTGACAACCTGTGACTCCCGAGTCTCTTTCTTTCCTTCTTTTTCTTTATTCTTGGCTTCATTCTCTTTTGTTCTCGTTGGAATTGAAACAATTGGAAATAATTCTAAAAATAATA